TATTTAAGCCATTTAACATCTATATATCTGGCATAATAAAACATATTGCATTTCCAACTTAATTTCTAATCATATATATCATGTTCTTTTAAAATTAACCATCATGGCGTAAAAAAGTATTCCATCACTCCTTTCAATTCATTTCAGTTCTTCCCAGCCCTCAAAATAAGCCGAATCTATTTAAATAATTGCCTCAGTGAACAGCAATTTGTCACCTAATATTGTGAGAGAATGTAATCCAGACTAAGCTTTCATAGTTTCACACCAACCATTAGTATGCATCAGTAACAAGAAAAATGAGAAGTATATTAAAAACCAGCAAGTAAAAAAACACCAAGAGGAACACCAATAGATGACTGACTCTAGTTTATTTGGTCAAAGGGACAATGAGCAATGACTTCGACTACAATAAGTAAATGTTCGTGCCTAGTTATTGTAATAGAAGATGAACTAAACCATGATATCTAAAACCAAAAGAAAAAATCCAGGCCATCTAAATCCTAATTTGTTATGAATCAAGGTTAAGTGTCTGACACCGTAAAAAGGTTTTACTCGTGCACTTAGCTGTGAGCTTGGGCATGATATAGAGAAAATGTGACGTGATATTTCCTATATTATTTGTCATTTTTATGTTTTTTCTGTGGTGATTGTGTTTATATATGCAATATATAGGTAAGAAGGCAACAAGGGAAGCATAAGGATCAAAAACAGATGCTAAGTTCTGGAATGGTGCTTAGGCGCCCAAGCCTAGCACCCCAGCTCCTTAACCAGCCTAAAATTCGCCCAAATGCAGAGCACCTGGAAAGTAGGCGCCCCATTTTGAAAATTAGGTGCCCAGCCTCGCATCTAGGTACAAAGTCTGATGCATAAGCTGAAGAAGAAGCCCCTGCACGCCAACAAACCGAGCAGTTAGAAACCAAGCATATGGTCTTGGCGCCTGAAGAAAGAAAGTCCCATAGGCAAGGAATTGAGAGCCTAGAAACCCAACACCCCAAGCTGGCGCATATGCGCCCAGAACTGAACTTTGAAAGTTTGCACGATTTGGAGACAATTTGGCAATTCGAAAAAGTAGCGAGGGCTCGCATCTATGGTTTTACATAGTCGCTATGAGAGAGTAAAATGAGGTATTGGTAGTGCGTTTGTGTGAGTGTTTTTAGAGAGAGTAGTGAATGGTTTTTTTATATTGTGAGTATGTGAAAGAGTCGATCAAGTGGAGATCATTGTACAAGAAAGAATTGAAGTGCAGCAAATCTAAAATTCTCTTGAGTCTTGTTGTTCGTGTTTATATAACACTTTCAATTTGATTTTTCAATGAAATTTATCTAGCTTTCTACCAATATGTTTGGGACCTAATTATTTTGTGCTTCTAAGATTTAGATGTCTGATGAATTATATTCTATCCATGATATTTCTTTAAGGGATTGTTTGAGATCAATTTTTCTTTTATGTTTTTTATTTAATCTTTGAAAACAAAAAAAAAATATTTATTTATATGTTTTTTGTTTTATTTCTTAATTTTATTTTTAAACGAAACACAATTATTTTAAAACACACAAAACACAGAAAACATGTATTTATCTGTTTCTAAAACAAATTATTTCACACTCACGTTAACAATGGCAATTGCTTTGGCTTCTCCTTCGGTCTACTGCTTCGCAAAAAAGTGTGGGGTGTGCCAAGAGAGAGCAACGCGAGTGGGATAAGACGGGTGGGGAATGAAGTCTGCAACGGTTCGCCGATGGCACGAAGGAGCTAGGCGGCAGGGTTTCGCGAAAGAGAGGCGAAAGGCCAATGTTTCGGTCGTGAGAATGGGGGAGAGGCTAAGGCATTGTGAGCAAGAGGAGTAAGCGCGCGAGGGACTGTTGGTAGCCAGAGAGAAGCTTGTCGGCAGTGTTGTCGTTGGAGCCAGGAAGATTCGGCGCGTAAAGGGAGCCTAGGCGAGGTTTCAGGCAAAGACCGAGAAAGGTGTTACGTGTGAGATTAAGGCCTGCGTGATCCTCCTGTAGCATAAAAGAAAGAGGGATTTTTCTTTTTTTTAGGAGACATATATCTAAATGCAATTATGTTTAACTAATTTTTTAAAAAATATATAGTTTTTTTCTTTTAAAAAATAGAAAATGCCCAACCAACTATGTTTTAAATTTTTTATTTTTTAAAAAAATAAATCATAACAGTACCAAATATGTTTTCTAAAAATAGAAAACAAAACAAAAACAAAATAGACTAAAAACAAAAACAGACTAAAAACAAAAACAAAAAATAGAAAATATAAAGTGATCCTAAAAAGGCCAAAGACTTCCTTAAATTTCACTGCATGTTAGTGTGTTATCTTTTTATTCTTAATTTACTTTTGATCTAACCAATTGAAATGTTAAAACCCCTTGTGATATAGAACTACTGACCGTAGGATAGAAGAACAAGATAACACTCAATCACCTAATGGAATAAAAATATTGTCAGTAGGAGATTGTAATCACAAAGGGGACGAGTCACATGATCTAATTCAGAGAAGCATGATTTTCACAATAGAAACATAATATTAGGATTTATACAACATTAAAAATTTCACAAACTTTCGACGCTTCAAACTAAACCTAGGACTAAAAAATCACCTTTTGGAAATATTAAATCGCTATCTGTTGGATGAACATACAGACTATTAAATTCATATACCAACGTATATACTTGCGTGATTAATGTGTGCTTCACCGCATCACGGATCAATTTTTTAGTGCCGTTACGAGAGAAGGATGCTAATTTTTTAATTTATGAGAATTTTAGTTAAAAAATAGAAAGTTTAAGTTTGAAAGCTATAGTGCTATTGTGTCTTGTATTTATAATTACCTGTATTATTATTTACGGTGTTAAAAAACTTCAAAACTATTATTATTTGTATTTTCTTTAGTCTCGTGCATGTATATTTGTTTAGTTTCTTATTTGTGATCTATATGTTGTAATTTGTGTTATTTGTTAGTTTATGATCACTAGTTAGTTCTAGCATTCTAGGTGTGTATGAGAAGAAATGCATCAGTTGAACTAGTACCCATTTGACACTGAAATAGAAAAAATTATTAAAAAAATTAGGAAAAACTTAGACAGCTTTAACAAATTAATGAGAAATGACATACCTACACGAACAAAATGACCAGCTTAAACCACTTTGGAATTTTGTCAACCCTATAGTAGATGCACCAGAGTATCCATAATCTTAGCATTCAAGTCAATACATTTGAACTCAAGCTTGCAATAACAAAAATGGCAGAAACCAGTCAGTTTGGGGGTTCACCAGTAGAAGACCCTAGTTTACATACAACAAATTTTCTATAGTTATGTGCGACATTTAAGTATAACGACATCTCTAACGATGTTGTTAGACTTGAGATGTTTCCTTTTTTTCCCTAGAGACTGAACTAATGTGTGGCTAAATTCACAATTTAGAACAAACTTGCACAAAAATTTCTGACTAAATTCTTTCCTCCATCTAAATCAGTCAAGCTTAAGAATGATATTACGTTGTTGTTGTTGTTGTTGTTGTTGAAATGAACTCATGTTAGACTTGAATTCTAATGAGTTGAGCATGAACACAATGTTCATAAACAATTTCAAAAACAAAATGAGCACAAACACACAAAAATACATAGTAAGCTTGCTTTAGCTTGATTAATTTACACCCAAAGATATGTGTGTGAATCCAAATAAGGCTACCATCGAGAAAACACTACATCACATCATAATAAGCTTTTGTTTATAACAATGGACTTTTTTTGGTAAAATCACCGTGAAAGTATAAGTAATAACAAACAAGTCGAATCAATGAAAAATAATTTGAACAATGAAAAAGACTTAATTGGGAAGTTTAAATAAATGGAATATCCTAAAATAGAAATACAACTTCTAAACAAAAATAATAATATATAAATCTTAAACAATTATATTGATCATGTCATTGTATTTATGTACTCAATTAGATGATGATTTGCATGAAATAATGTTGATGCAATAGGTTTCAACTTTCAACAAGTCTATCTGGAACAAGTAGTTCACCAAAATTTTCCCGAGCCCATAAAAAAAGAGAAATGAGTAAACATGTAATCATAAAAATTATCTTAAATTAATATAGAAAGAAAAATTCCTTTGAAGAGCCGAAAGTATTTCTTTTTTAGAATAAACTAATTGTAAGAAAATCTCTTAGGTATGATTATTTGATAGCACATTCAACATATGAGAATTTAAGAATAGAGTTTGAAAGAATAGATTTCACAAAATCAGTAAATGAAATATCATTCATTAGCATATTATCCTCATTTTATTTATAAAAAAAGCCTACTTATTAAATAAAATAAGGTTAACGCAAACTAAGACAAAATTTGATGATCCTCACTAAAGAAATATATAATAAAATAAATCTTGCTTAAAAAATAAAATTGGATAAATAATATATTTTTAAAAGATAGGAACTTATCCCAAATATTTTATTAATTGGATCATCGAATTTTGTCAAAAAGCTAATTTGTATATCAAAATTCATAAAAAGAGTCAGTAAATGTTTAGTTTAAAGAATGTCACGGGCTAGGCCCACCCTGAGCTACAGCTCTTTGGCAAGTAAAGCATGTAAATGGTGAATAATATTGCTAACTATATCACCTTGTTTAAATGCGATTATTAAATACTATCACATCCTAAATAAGTTCCTGTAGCAAGCCTCACTGGATGCAATTTGGCCAAGACTTGATCTACATAGTCTGGTCTAGTCCATCACCTTATCCCTCCACAAATATCCTTAATGTAAAAAGCTAAGCCCCAACTCACTGGAATTAGAAATAATGGTTTCAAAAGAATAATTTGAAATATATATATGTGCATGCCACTATAGAAATTATAAGATATTTGGATCAAGTTTTATGTTGTACTTCCATGTGGTTAGGTAAAACGAACTTGAGCCAGAGATAGTTAGCTTATTTCCAGAAACCAAGGATAATCTAAGTGCTCAAGATTCTTACTGGTTCAGACTGAGTGGTGTCCTCTTGTAAAGAACTTCTTAGGATGTAAAAATCGATAAAAATTCCACCTCCTATGTCCCAATCAGCAATTTCTAGTTTATGTTCCTCCATGATGCTTGCAGTACTCCAAATCTCTGAATCTTTGGCTGAAACAGTTATAATTGAATCAATAAAAGTAAAGCATCAGGAAAAATCAGACACATCACAGTCATGACAAAAATAGGTAAAGGGAGGAGTGTGTGTGTCTATATATATATATATAGAGAGAGAGAGAGAGAGATACAAATTCCTCTTTCATTGACTTAGAGTTGTTTGGTAGCCTGCATTATCATGGTAATGCAAATAAAATGCCTAAATTTCGGCATTTGGTTGGACAAAAATATAATAAAATAGAAAATTTTGGAGAATTCAAAATTCACTCATTAGTTCAAATTAAATGTATATGGAAACTGACTGATTCGTTAAATACACCACAGAAGCTACTGCTACCTCGAACACAGACTATTGTCGTCGCCGTCATCGTCGCCAGCCACAACAGGGTTTTATACTGATTTCATTCTACTCCAAACCAAACACAAAGAAAACAATCTCATACATTTATTTTACACCTAACCAAACAACTGTAAAATGATTCAAATACACTATATTTCTATTCCTTTTAGTCTACATTCCTCATTCAACAAATAAAACAATCAATTGATTGGAATTAGAAATATGCACGAGTAAGAAAAGCATTTTATACTGATTTATTAGCTTAAACATTGTGAAAATTTCCGAACACTGCAAAACTGTTGCCTCTTCTTGGTTAGCCTTGGAATTTAAGCACTCAAATCACATCTCTAGTGATAGTTCTGACGAAATAGAAAAAAAAAAAAGGACACCAATAGAGGTTTCATTATCAAATTGGCAATTACAATTTTAACGAAACAACAAGCACTGCATGACATACTTACAAGAGAGGTACAATGAATGGGCCACTTCTGTCATGAAGATCGAATGAGCTTTTTCCCACTTAGAACATTTTAGATAGTGTTCAAGGGCAGCTGGAAGATTCCTGTAATATTCATTGTAAGTTGCCTGCAACAATAGCATTGAGCTATCCATTACTGAAGCAATAAAAAATGAATAACAATGTTTGAATTCCAACTCGAACAGCAAGAGAAAATAAATATAAAAAGTGAAAAAAAGTAACATAAATAACATTTGCATGTATTAGAACAAAAACACTACAAAAATTGAAGGCATAAAATTGTGAAAACAACCAATAAAAATAACAGCTAAACCTACCAAAGCCTCATGCATCCACGTTGATGGCACACCAAGCTCTACAATAAACTTGTGTTGTTCTTCACTCATACTCCAGGTCTCACAATACTGTAATAAAATTTCCTTGATAAGATTGGCCTGCAAATATGGGAACTTTTCACAACAAGGCATCTGGATGACAACATAAATTGCCCAATGACATAGTCCTAAACATAGCAGCTGTGAAACAAAACTTATATCAACAACTTGAAGATCCTTCGAACTGAAAGCACCTATTGACTCTAATACGGCACGCTGATGCCAAATCATGTGGCAATCAAGTGGATCAAATGTGGAAGAGAAGGCACTAAACATAACTTTTAGAAGACCAAAAGCCTTTTCTGCATTGGCATAAAGAAGCATGAGATAATATGATATATCATAACGGTCACCAACGTTCCACTCCACTCCATCAATAAGAGGACCCTCATCGATATAAACTGGAACAGGGTGAGGAGCTCTTCCTTTACTGAGGAGTTGTTCATAGGCATTAATAATCACAGGAAGTTGAGTATCAGGTGGTAACTGATACCACATAACCATTCCTAGGTGCCTTTTCCAGTCAACAGACCAATCCTGCAGCGAACCTTGAATGTTTCCAGCGAGTAATTCATATAACTTCAACCTCTCTTTCTCAATATAACTAAAGTCCATTCCATTATCTTTCCATATATCTAATTGCTGAGCCATATCAGCCCTATTAACCATTGATCCACCAGTCTGGCTCAACAAAATAGCCAGGCCAACATCTCCTTCAGAAGCAGCAAGTTCTACTGCTGCATCAACCTGCCTTCCAGTTAAAAATACAAGAATGTTTTCTAAATAGTTTGAATCATTCAAACAGCTGACATCTTCTTGCACGCGGTGGCAAACACTATCTCGCAACCAATAGCTGAATTCAGCTCTACGTAGTAACGGGTTTGCCTCAGGATCAATATTAAGAGATCCATCCTTCTTATCAAGCACCATTTCCTCAACAACATCGTCTACGGAAGATCTAAAATTTTCATTAGTCTCCCTTTCTGAGAACAAAACTTTTATGAGTTCCCATACTGTCACTTGATGCATCAAAAGGACACGAGTGGATGCAGGCAAGCCAGGCACTTCAATTTGCTTTTCAATGATGCTAATATATTCCCTGCAAATATCTGGAAGCATTGAACGATTTGATATAATTTTCTGAAGTTTTAGCAAGGAAGAGCCAACCTTGATTTCCATAGTTTTGTGGTCCAATGATTTGTGCAATTTTAATGGGAAAGAAAAGCAGAAATCAACTAGTTCTTCGCTGACTTTATTCTGCTCATCCCTCACAGTTTTGTCTATAGCAATTTTTTCCACATGAATAATAGAAGACAATCCAGATCCAGTTTTCCCAACTGGGGTACCAGTATGGACAAGTATGCCATTTGGTCCCCATCCAACTCTGAAAGATTTACCCATAAACAGAGCAGCATCAACAACATTACTAGAAAATCCTCCAGACAAAGGAGTGGCATGCTTTCCATCTAGCCTGAAGCCTTCAGCCCTTTTTACCCTGAGTGGCAATCCCTTGTTCTGACCTGTCATAAGAATCCCTCTAGATGGGCTTAAGTCAGAATTACTTTTATTGTACTCAAGTAATGGCACTGGTGATTTCTTCAAAGGGGAAGAACTAATCCTATTACGACCTTCTTTCAAGATTTCCTGGCCAAAATTTCTTTTATCTGATGGAAATGAACCGTCAATACGTTTATCCTCCTCTTCTGCAAACATCAACATCCTCAATTCATGCATCCTTCTAGGATCAAGCCCGAGATGAGCAGGAAGAGAATGAGATAGCACAATTTCACAAGAAGGACCTTCATGATCTTCAGCAATAGGTTGAACCAAAACATCATCCATAATCACATCGTCATCATCCTCATCCTGTCCCAATCCAAATCTGCTAAAATGGTGAACAAGAAACTTCCACTCCCCACTCGATTGATTGAATGAAATAAACTTGGCCCCCTGTATATCTGCACATTTTCTCAACTTGGCTGTGATTTTAGTATATTCTAAACCATCTGAATCAGCTAAGTTCAATTTAAGGATTAGTGTTACTTCAGCAGCTTTGTTAAGTCCTTCACCAATTGGCGGTTTTTCGCTCTCATTTTCGTACACTGTTACGGAATGTCTATCAAGCTTTACAATCTTCTCCAAGTTCAACCATCTGACATCAGTATTATCAAGAAATTTAATGGAGCCAAAACCTACTCTTCCAATCACAAAATTTGGGACTCTGCTGCAGTAACCAGGATCAATATACTCTCTGGAAGCCAATTCAGCAACTGATGGCTCCAAAAAATACTCAGAAGAAAGTATAATGGGTAAGAAAGGCTGAGCATCTCGATTATACATTCTTCTTTTCTTGCACTGAGGAAGCATTGTAAAGTCAAAGAAACTGACATCTATTTTCTTTCCCTGTAAATGTTTTTTTTTATGCTATGAATATCAGGTAGAGCAATCAATAAATTGTTTTGAGATGTGTCAAAATTGGGCTTTTTCATACAGAGTTTGTACAAACAAGTCATGAAAATCACGACTGCGTGATTCAACCAGTTTAACACGCACAAGCTCACACAAAAAAGGGGGGGTTACATATAGACCAACCAATTCCTATAGATTTGCATATTTAGCACAAATTTTATTGTTTACATTTTGAGCACCCCAATTTTTCATATCGCGTCAAATACCAGTATTTTTTACTTTTAAAAAGTGAAATACACCTTTTCAAGCATAGATAAGGTGGTGTATACGTAAAAAATTGAATGTAAGGTGCTAAATATGTAAATACATAGGAAACGAGTGGTATGTGTGTAAATACATAGAAATCGAGTGGTATGTATGTAAATCTTCAAAAAAAAAATAATAGTAATAATAGGCGGGGCATTTACATACATATCACCCAATTCCTATGTATTTACATATCTAACACCTACACTTTACTTTCAACAATTATACCACTCAAATCTTTCATATCACTGAAAAAATACCACTATTTTAACTTTTAAAAAGTGAAATACACCTTTTCATGCATAGATAAGATGACATATATGTCAAAACTGAATTTTAGGTACTAGATATGGAAATACATATGAATTAAGTTGATGCATGTAAATCTTCAAAAAAATTTACAAACCTAGCCAGGATGCACTGCCTATGAAGTAATAGCACAGCACTATCCTTAAATTCACAGTCAAAGTGCGTCATCTTAATCTTCCTTCTTTTTCATAACAAAAACAAGCTCTGAAACTGCATAAAAGAAGCATCAACTTGAGTTTTGAGCAATAATTAAGTCCCCAAAGCCCCCACCCGACACAAGACCCCAGAAAGCTTAAACTTTATAATCGCTGAGTAACACATGGAGCATAAACGATAAATTAGCTATAAAATGTGGAATGACTTTCTTTCTTAACAGTTTAATTAAAATGACAACACCTTCGGCATCAAATGCCATTGTACTGGGGAGCCATTAGGACTGCTTCGTATCCAAACATTTTAGGCAGGATTTAAGCCAGAATTAGCTTAACATAAATCGTGCCAAAAATAACTTTGGCATTTACGGATTTCTCGCTCACACAAATCTTAAATCCTGAAACGAATAGCCCAAAAAAAGAGCTTATCAACATTAAGCAAGTTTTAGGGTCTGCATGGTAGCAGGATTTAACCTAAATCCTGCCAAACGCCAAAAATGACAACTTTAAATCTCGTTTCTTCTCCCTTTTGTCTTACTCCCGGATTGAGTAAATCAACTTGGAAGGCAGATTTAACCGATAAAGAAGAGGGGCAGGGAGGGGTAGAAATGGGGAGAAAGGCGATGGTTACCTTCCACAATGGTTTCCGGTAGGAGCGGAGCGGAAAGGGGGAGAAAGATGGGAGTTTTAGCGGAGCCCGTTGTTGAGTTCCCAACTAGCTCCGATTGGACGGTAGCGCAAAGGTTTCCCGCGATGGAGGTAGGCTTCGTTTCGGCCCTTTGGGCGAAACCAGGTGAGGGGGAAGAGAAGTTGGTGACCGTATCCGGCAGACGAGAGGGAAAGGGGATGATTTCCGGATTTAATAAAAAACTTTTTAAGTTAATTGCAATTAATTTAATTAATTAATAAGTAATAAATAATAAAATATACTGTCATTCTATATATAATTATGCAGATTTATATGTTAAAAGTTAAATCCAATTTAATAGTTAATTAATTTAACAAAGTTCTGATTGATTAATTGGTGATTAATCAGTTTAATAAATAATTATTTAATGATTAATTGGTGAATGTTAAAAAAATAATTAATAAATAATTAGTTTAACAAAAACATTTATTACAATGAATAAGAAGCATAGTAAATAATTAATCTATAATTAGTATAATTAGAAAACTAAAATAGACTTAATTTAATTATATTTAATAATTATATGCTTGAAATAAAATATTAAATTTATATTTCAGGTAACAAAATTAAATCTTGAAAATAAATTACAAACTGTTTCATAAAATTTAATCAGATTTAATATTTATTATACCAAAGAATTTTTAATATTTTAATCTTTTAGAATTTAGTACATTCAAATTTAATGGATTTACTAAATCCTAGTTAAATTAAATCCTACTTGTCGCCCAACAACCCATTGCTAATTGTCACGCAAAACAATTTTACATTTTAATCCTCTCCATATAAAAACCAAAATATTGTCTTTTTCTTTCTTTTTCTACAATCATGCTATCATCACCACCTTCCTTATTCGATTGGGTCTTGACACCTTCCAGATTTGAGGGCAATCTTCTTTCATTTTTCTACTTGCCCTATCTTTCCTTCTAGAATGAACTGGCCACGCTCTATTTCCTATGATATTTCTTTCCCTTTTTTTCTTCTGTCACATTCGACACCATTGCTTCCAATATGTGGCCAAAGGATTAGGGTATCTCCCTCTTCTCGCTCGCCTCCACCTATTGTTGTTGATCCCCACAGAGTCGTTTCTCTCTCCCTCTCCCCTTCTTTGCCTCTTCCTCCTCTAAAGGTTCTAGACAAGCCTCTTTGTTGTTTTCTTTTGACCAAAACTTAGCGTATTAGATATTCTCTCTTTCATTTTCCAAGCCTGCCAATTATATCTTTTGGTATGTTTTTCTTATTATTTATGATAGTACATTTTTCTCCTCCTATTTTTTTATTTCTTATTACATTCTTATAATAATTATGTGCATACATTTAAATTATTTAATATAATTAGTTTGTTTTGTTAATTTATTAATTAGACCAAAGAATTAATATTAGATTCCTTATTATTTGTTATTAGTTATTATTTATTTATTAAGGGAGATGATGGGGGTGTTATCCTTATTATTTTTATTAGATTCATAGGTAATTGTAGGTTTGTCAGTCATACCATTCAAGTCTGTTAGTATAGTAGCATTAAATTTTACTTATTGTTTATAATAAGTTCAATGAGTAATTAGTCTTGCTTAATTGGTGTATAGATTTTTGTTTACTTATGTGTCTTGATTTCAATATTTAATTTTTGTGTATAGCATTGAGTTAAAATTCATAATCATGTATAAATATTGGTGGACAAATTTTAAGTTATATTGTTATGCTTTGTTATCATTTAATTGTTAATATTATTATGTCAATAATAAGCCCTGCAAATTTTATTAGCATATGTAGAATATTGTCTTGTTTTGTTAAATATATTACATATACAGCTTATTGTCATTTATATTTTAATAAATCGTGGTTATTTACTGAGTTTGATTTGTTCAACTCATTTGATGATATTTTTTAAAAGGTTCCGCCGAGGCATTTAGTTGACCATCCTTTAAGGAGCATTCATATATATATATATATATATTAGTATTTGCATTAGTTGTTGCATTTTTTTGAGGGGGTGTTTTGGAAGTTGTCAATTTCTATTTCAATTTATTTTCGGTTATTGTTTTATTTTCTTCAGTTGTTAAACTCTTATTTATGAAATGAGATAAAATTTATTTTTTCTTTTCCCATGCATAATCTTTCCTTTTATAAATATAAAACAAGTTCAATTTATTTCATCATGTCATATGCTATCGGGGTGTAAAGCTTTCCAGACCAGGGTTTGTGACACTCAAGTTTTACAAAATCCTATTCAAATTACATCACAATTGGTAGTCCTTCAATAAAAATAAAAAATGTAAATGAAATGCAACTGGTATAAAAGAATCACAATTGACAATCCGCCAATAACATAAAAAATGTAAATGAAATGCAACTGGTATAAAAGGTGCCAGGGTAAATAAGAACAAAAAAAGTTGAAATTCTAGAAAGAGATACAAGTTAAATGAAAGAAATCAAGTGAGGATAAAAGAGGTAGCATCCTATTGTGAACAAAGAAACGGATGCCATGATCAAATGGGCAATCACAAGGGGATAAGGGAAAAGGATAACTTGACCAACAAATGATGAAGACAAAAGAGCATATAAGGCATGTGACCTAAATGAAATAGATGTGGACATAACAAGACACCTTTACCAAAACATGGACGAAGAAGGCAAGCTGATTACGATGAACTTGAGAGATAAGAGGAGAACTTCTGCTTCTTGTGAGCAAGGCAATGGTGAAGAAAGGTCATCGAGGAGCAGATAGTTGTGTTGCACGACTGGAAAAAAAATAATAATAACAATAAAGCAAAGAGAAAATGCCTAGAAACAATTTTCACTTATTTGATATATAAGTTTTGATCTCTCTCTCTCTCTCTCTCTCTCTCTCTCAAAACCTCTATTTGCTAAAATATTTGTTGAAAAACACAACTTTAACATAAATCTGTAGGAGTATAATTAGACATGTTAGATTGCTCAGGCTGATGAGCCAAGTAGTCAAGCTGAAGCCAGCCCCCTCTACTTTCAGCTCATGAGCTGGCTTATTTAAAAAATATTAAAATAAAATACACTTAAGCATATTGCAAATTAAGACTTTGTCAACATGTAAAAATATATAAATTAAAGGATACATAAATATACATACATATATATATATATAGAGAGAGAGAGAGAGAGAGAGAGATAAGTTAAAATAATTCCATTTCATTACCTATCATAAAGCATGCAGAATACTAGCTAGAAAGCCAACAATGATGGTTCATTCTAAAGAAATATTATCTTTGTTATATTACCAAGGCAAAACAAGTAGCTACAAGCTTGAATTTTTCTCTATTTGTAACTTATTACAAACAAGAATCAAAGTCCTCTCAAAATAGTTAAGGTGAGCTTTTTCCATCAAAAGAGCACTTCAACAATTTGTCTTCATGACACATTTTTACTCATTGTAGCATATTGAATTAACTATAAGTTTAAACAAAACATTACAATAATAAACAATTCATGGAATTTTGGGAAAAAAAAATGGGGCATTTAAATACATGTCACCCAAATCTTTCCTATCACATCAAAACTACCGCCATTATAACTTTTTAAAAGTTAAAGTGGTATGTATGTAAACATTACAATTTACGTGATAGATATATGGATACATAGGAATTGAGTGATATATATGTAAATCTTCAAAAATAAAAATGTTCACAAGATTGTATACTAGCTCTCCAGGGTCTAACTACATTATGCTAAAAAATCTGGAATAATAAAGCTAACATGTCTTGATGTCACTAAAGGCAGTCATGGAAGCCAGGAACCTGCCAAGCTACTCTAAAAATGGCAAAAAAACAAAAAAGCTAAAATAAAATACAAACACAAACTTTAGGAAAAATTACATCTACCTCTTTAAATAGAACACATCCAAAGGTCATCTTCATGAACAGCGACACCAACTTCCAAATTGCCATTACAAAGCATAGGGTGAAGTCTTTTCTTCAAAGATAGCTTCGAGCAAAAAGCAGATGGACTGCCGGCAGAAGTAAGACAGCTATCAACTGAGTGTTCCGTTATCTGTTCAAGTCCTGCCCATGGCTTATCTTCTGCGAAAACTCTGGCATTTTCAGACAGGGATGGAAGCTTAACGGGCTCATATTTGATGCCACCATTGATATTTCTGTTTGAAAGTTCTGTGAATTGTTGTTTGATTGCATCGAAGCCGATTTCGGTTAGATTCGGATCGACGAGAGCATTGCAGGCTCTGTCCAGAAAGGATTGGAGGTATTTCTCCTGAGCTTCTATCCTTAGTTGAAGACTTTTCTGGACCTGGATGAAGCTTAATAGAGATGAAGCTATGGTGTGTTTGAGTTTCATGGCAGTTAATGTGTTACACATATCATGAACATTTGTGAGAAAAATTTGGAAAGTGAAAGCTATTGGATTTGGAGGAATAATGTTTTGATGACCTTGCCAAAAAAAAATCCAAAAGGCTAATAACGTATAGAAGGATAACTTTTAGGAAGGAATGAATCCCTGATAGTGTTAGGATGGGAACAGCTCAAGGGCATTTATTTGCACCAATTTGTTGTAGAATAGAGCCTAAAGAAGTACTCGGGAGGACATGGCAGCAAGCAGGAGTTTATGTGCAGCGTAATAAGTTTATTTGGCATAGCTATGTCGATCCAGGATGATGTAACCATGCTGGGATCGGCGTAGCTACCCTGGGCTGTCTCAGATCCTTCGCTTCCTTCTCGAGCACACAAAATAATTACGGCGGTTCTGGGCATCGTCACACCACTGGGAAAGTTTTTTTTTGTTATGATTCTTAAGTCGCGATTGGAGTGACGAAGAACTTCTTTCTCTCACGTGCGGGGTTTCTTGACAAGGATTCGTGAAATAGAAAAGAGTTGAGAAGGAGGATTTTTGCAAGGGCTTTCTCATGTGAGATCGAGAGGAAGGTTTAAAGCGTAGTTCTATACGTTCTTGTATTTAAAGGGAATTGATCTAATTGTGTATCTCTGTACATATTTTATTCTTCATAGTGAAAACTTATTGCGGCCAGACTCCATGATTTTTTCCCGTTCTCGAATTTTTTCACATAATTCCTTGTGTACTTTTCTTAAATTACTTTGTTGAGCATCTGTTCGATTTATTTTGTTCCAGATTTCTAAAATTTGTGTGCTCCAATTCCACAATGTGGTTTTAATTGTGATCCAATCAAAGCCCTAAGTGCTCATAATCCATCCCAACCAGTGGTACAGGACGAGATTTCTTTGATTCTATTGGGAACAGTGGCAGACGAAGTGAGGTGCAAACTGAAAAAGTTCAATAGGTTAAACTTTGCGTTCTGGAGGATGCAAGTGAGGATATGTTGTATAAAATTGTATTTGCAACTACAAAAAATCACCAAGGAGCATGAATAGATGATCATGGAGGAATGGAAAGAGTTGGATCAAACGACCCTAGGTTTGATCCGTTCGTCACTTTCTTCGTCTGTTGCTTTCAATATAATGAACGAGAAAACCAAGCTAGATCTCTGGCAGCACTGACAATGATGTATGGAAAGCCTTTTGCTTCTAATATTGTTTTTTGATGAAGAGATTGTTATTCAACAAGAAGATTGTGAAAGACAGTTCTGTGACAGAAAATTTGAACAGGTTAAATATTATAATGAGCCAGATGTATTATGTGGGGATCTTATTTGATGATAAAGTTAGGACATTGTTAATTCTAACTTCATTGCTGGACAATTTGGACGGATTGATCACGACGGTAAGTAATTCTTCAAGGAATATGAAATTGAACTTCGATGACATCGTAGGGTGAATGCTGAATGAAGAAGTATACAAAAAGGCAACGAATAGTGAATCATTAGTTTATGTATTGAGTGTTGAAAATAGGGAAAAGAAACTGGACATGAATACAAGCAGAGATAGAATCAAGTCTAGAAGAGGAAAGTACAAATCAAATAGAGGAAATGACACGGGACAATGATGGAACTGTGAAAAGAAATAACATTTCAAGAATGACTCCAAGGATCGAAAGAAGGCCGATGGTGGAGGCAAGGAATCTCTACAAATATCTCCTTAGATGAAATCCAATGTGACTCCCTGATTTTATCCCTAATCAACACTAAATTTTGGAAAGTAAATTTAAGTCTCTTTTCACACATGCCCTAAAAGAGGTATTCAAAAATTACACTCAGAGTAATTTAGGGAAGGTTTAGTTGGGAGACAACAAAGCCTAAAATATCATGAGAAAGAGTGATGTGAATAACGAGTTACCAAATAGAACAGTCTAGAAGCTTAATAGAGTTAGATATGTTCCAAGCCTGAAGAGAAATATGATCTCGATGAGCCAGCTGGTAAAGTCACGGCTCGTGACTACCTTCACAAGTGATTCGTATAAGTTGACCAATGAGGGCAATGGTAATGGCTGAGGCAACACTGAAGGCACTCTTTACCTGATCAATAAGATAGCAAATTCATTCTTGTGGCTAGAACCAAGATTGATGCAAGTCTCTGACACTGTAGACTAGGTCATATGAGTAAAAACGATATGAAGTCCCTACTTTCTAAAAGAAAACTTCAGGAATTGAAATTATCATATTTGGATTTATGTGAAGACTGTCTATATAACAAGCAGAAGAAAGCTTCTTTCTCTAAATGTGGGTCAATTGTGAAGTTAAAAAAACTAGAGTTAGTACATACTAATGCATGGTATCCAATTCCATTTCAGTCTATAGGGGGATCTCGTTATTTTGTCACTTTTATAAATGATCACACCATAAAGGTAAAAGTTTACTTCCCAAAACAAAAATCCTAAGTATTTAAAGTGTTTAAGAAGTTTAAGGATGCGGTAGGAAATGAGATATGCTTGAAATTGAAGTGTGTCAAATTAGATAATTGAGAAGAGTATTGTGATAAAAAAAGTTTAGAAATTTTTGTGATGCAGAGAGGACCAGGCATGAGTTCAATGTTCTAAGAACACGAAGCTTGATAGTCTGATAGAAGCTTGATAGTCTGATAGTAGTTGAGCAAATAAATAAAATAATCACGAAGCTTGATAGTCTGATAGAAGCATAAGGTTGCATGTATGCTTGCCAAAATAGTTCTGGGCCGAAAAATGATTATTGTTGTTTATTTGATTAAGTGCAGTTCATCAATATTTTTTGAAGGAAAGCATACTTGAAGAAGCTTAAAGTGACAAGAAGGAAAATCTATCTCATCTAAAAGTATTTGAATGTTATGCATTTACTTATGTTGATTTAAGATCTAAGAGTAAGCTAGACTCGAAATTTGTCAAATGTGCATTCATTGAGAATGGCTTAAATGAGTTGGGGAACAAGTTATAGGACAAAAAATTAACAGGAGCGGGGACGTCACTTTCAATGAAATGAAGATATACAAGGACACGAGCAAAACTCGGAATTTTCCATCAATCACTTATTAAGTATTCAAATATGTTGCAATAAAAGATAGTGACGATCAGAAGGAAAGAGAAAGAAGTGCTCAACTAGATGAAGCACACAAAATTCCTCAGTCATTGGCTCTTGAAGTTAAGAGGCCCAACAGAGTGACATGGCCGACATACATGTATTTTCTTTCATTACATTATTTATTGCTAACTAATAGTGGTGAACTAGAGTGCTTTGAGAAGGCCACTCAAATTGAGGATTCAACAGAGTGGGAGTTTGCCATAGATGATGAAATGCAATCTTCGGGGTGAAATAGGACATGAGATTTGACGGTATTACTAGATGACAAAAAAATACTATACAATAAGTGGGTCTACATGTTGAAAGAAGAGTTAAATTGTAGCAGACATTACAAGCCAGCTTGTTGTGAAAGGGTTTCAACAAGTGTGGACTACATGGAGATTTTTTCTCCGATGGTAAAAGCGATAACAGATAGAGTTGTGTTGAGTATAGTAGTAGAAGAAGATCTACATCAAGAGCAAGTGGATGTAAAAATAGATTTGTTACATGGAGATCTGGATGAGGAATTATATATGGTGCAACCTTAGGCTTATGAGATTACGGCGAAAGAAATTTGACTGCAGGTTGATGAAGAGCCTTTATGGCTTGAAGCACACCGCGAGAAAGTGGTACAAGAGTTTTGACAAATTAATGTCAAGACAGTGGCTACATGAAGTGTCAGACAGATTATTGTTGCTTCATCAAACACTTCAGTAATCAATATAACTTGCTCCTTTTATATTTGGATGACATGCTGATTGTAGATGCAGATATGAAGAAAATCAAGGACTAAAAAAAAATGATTATCAAGTGAGTTTGAGATGCAAAATTTAGATCCAACAAAAAAAAAATCTCGATATGAGAATCAATAGGGGCAAGAATATAGGTAAACTGAAGTTATCTCAAGTAGAGTATGTTGAGAAGATTCTACAGAAGTTTAATATTAGTAAGGCAAAGCCAGTTTGCACCCCCATAGATAGTCACTTCAAGCTATCTAAAGAGTTATCACCTAAATCTGAAGCAAAGCATGTACATATCGGGAGAACTTCATATGCTTCAACAGTTAAGAGTTTGATATAGTTATGATTTGTATTAGACCGGATATTGCATATGCAATGTGAGTGACCAACAGATACATGGGAAATCCAAGTAGGCATCATTGAGAGACGATGAAGCGAAATCTCAGGTATTTCAAAGAAACAGTAAACATGACACTTTGCTATGGAAGTACAAGGATCAGTCTATAGGGATTTATAGAAATCTCACAGAAAATTTGGATGGTAGAAGTACAACATGGCATATCTTTACTTTGGGAAACACGGCAATAAGTTGGGTTTCCAAACTGCAGAAGATTGTTGCACTTTCAACTACAGAGGTCGTATACATTGTTATCACCTAGACTAGAAATGAGATAATTTGGCTATAGAGCTTTATAGCATAATTGGGCAAGGAGCAATGAATTGGAAAGCTTCATAGTGATAGTATAAATGCAATTTGTCTTGCTAAGAATGTTGTTCTTCATGTCAAGACAAAATTCAGTTAAGGTATTACTTTATATGCTCTCTTATAAAAGACGAGTAGTTGTTCTTGGAGAATATACACAGCTCAAAATCCTGCATATATGTTGATGAAGGTGGTCACTATTGAGAAACTGGAGCTATGTTCAATTTTCGTTGGAATCTACAAAGATTGATGTCGAGGGTGAGCCACATCATGGTACGAGACAATGAAACTGATACAGGTGAAGGTACAAATCTTGAGGACAGGTGTTTCACTTTTTAAAAGTTAGAGATAGTGGTAATTTTTATCCGATACGAAAGATTTGGATGATATAAATGTAAACATCAAATTTTAGACATTAGATATATAAATACATAGGAATTGGGTGGTATGTAAGTAAATGCCCCAAAAATTCTTATTATCACACAAGTGCAAGTTGCCCACTCAGATGGATATCTGTGGCCATGTGTAGAAAACGTGGCTACAGGTGCATCAATATTTCATAAAGCATCACTAATTTTGGTAGATTTTTGCGGTGTTTTTTTAGTTAGAAAATCTAAAATGATATTAGGAGAGTTTGAGACAAATTATAGGATGTTCATGTTTCCAATGAATCACTTCGATATATCTAGAAAAACTGTAGTGAGACAGATTATAGGATGTTCATGTTTCCAATGAATCACTTCGATATATCTCACAAAACTGTAGATTGAATGAAGGATAATTTATAGTTTGTATATGAATATTGCTTTATTTGTGAGTGATTAATATAGACAAGACCTTAAAACAATCTAATATAAGCATTTCAAAGTAGAAAGACAATCTGATGACTAACTCTAAGCTTAAAAAACTAAAATGCTATGAAATTTGAAACAATAAAAACATTTAAAACATTGCAATGTTTACATAAATTTTAACCTTGGCGAACAACTCCACGATTTTTCAAACTCTCTCAAAGCAATTTATTAGAAATTTGAACATCCTATCATCTGTCTCACGTTATCTCCATACTATTTTAAGCAGTGCAACCACATTTAAGGAATCATCAGAAACTGCAGAAATTATTAATTATTACTGCTCTCTAAAAAAACCCAATACTGGTGCAAGCGTGATATTTGTTAAATGAGATGAAGGCGCAAGTCTCCAACACATTGGCTGCTGGCACTGAAATTTTGTTAATACTGCGCTTGCATGGCACAAGTTATCTGTCGAGCTAGTAAATGTTATAAGAATAGTTGTGAACTTAACATGTAACTTGCTCTTATTAATTTACTGATTTATTTTTTGAGTGTTCCCGTCCTTAAGAGTTATTAGGGATTCGTCCCTTAGGTGGCAAAGTGGCTTTGCATTTGGAAGTTCAATAGCGATGAATGGTCAAATAATAGCTACAGAAAAGATTAAGGTTAATTAAACTTTAATTTCTTACATTTATACCCAAATCTTTCATATCAAATCAAAAATACCACCATATTAAAAATTGACGTTTGGCCGTTAGATTTGTAAATACATAGGAATTGAATGGTATGTATGTAAATCTTGTAGAAAAAAAAGAACATAAATAAGGTTGTGATTTTTAAGTTGATAATGGATGCTTAAACAGAGAAGTGCTTCTTATCTAGTCTGTAAAATGAAAATATCGCAAAATTTTAAGGAAAAGTTAATCAAATGATGATATAACCACCTATGCTACAAATAGAACTGAGAGTGCCAAAAAAAAAAAAAAAAAAAACTAGCAACTTACTTGAGCAAGGCCAAAATGAAAATACTAAGAGAGATTATGGTATAACTATGAAGTAATTCAAAACTATTATATTGATAGTGTGGGAGAATAAAAATTGAAGATAAGTTTTCCGAGGGCAGAAATTTGGAGATGATATCGTAATAGCAGCTACAGAATGTGGTTGGCTTTTAAAATCCTTGCATATCAATCATTCTTCATTATAAATACATTTGTTTTAGTTGTATATAACGAAAGTTGATTTAGAGATGTAATGTGGTTTAGATATTCCTAAGTTTACCAACAAATGAATGGTCATCTTCACAACTGAGGCAACTAACCTCCAATTGTTCATGAAGCCTTCTTTGAAGTTCCATTTGGACTCTCATGGCCTCATTACACCCACTGCACGTGAAATTACATATAATTTGCTTTTGATAGAAAAATGCATTAAAAAAATGATTAAAAAAATACACTAAGTGAGCTTACTCATTAAATTCTTGAGTTACTTGGGTAGATGCTGTAGAGGTCTTGCTCCCACGGCTTTCCAAAACACCAGAGGCTGAATGAAAAAAGACCGGAATAAATATCTTCATAAAGTGTTGGTCTTAATTTAAGATGCATAATCATAATGACTACATTAAAAGAGGTATTTTTTAAATTTTATGTGTTAATCTTAGATATTTTTTTTTATTTCATCTTATTTAATTATTTATATTATCTGAGAAAAAGTAAAATTTTTACTTTGATTTTTTTAGCTGATTTTTTATTTTCCCTGGCATTTTGGTTCCGCCATTGATTATGACTTGCAAACATATTTTTACACTCAATACATATCCATGCATAATATACTTGTTCTCCATGAAGTGATTAATCTATATCATGTTGCACACATGGTCTATATCCTTAATCTTCCTAACATGAAAAACAAAATACAAGTTTTTTCTTTCTTTCCTGGAATATAGGTTCATACTTTCTCTTTAAAAATTCAACGAGCCCTGAAGGTGCAGTTCTTCTAGTCCAAAATAACCAAAAAGAATACCCTAAAAGTATGAACGACAACAACAAAAAAAAACTGAATATGAAAATTTACCGCGATTTGCATAAAAAGCACTTCGCTTCAAATACTAATTAGCTAAGATATCCGGACATCTGCTAATAAGCAGCATATAAAAATCGCTAGTTTTGAATGTAGTCCCATGTGAGTACCATTGGAAGCACTAGCGTTGGCAGGACCACCTAAACCATGGGAGTACTAAAAAATAATCATATTATAACATATGCATTATAAATAACTGTTCATTTATCATTCCAAAATGCATCAATTAGTTGCCCATTCTATGGTTTGTCATATACAAATGGAAGAAAACTTATGCTAACGCACACACACGGGCAGTGGAAACATAAATGCTCTGTGTTTGTGTTAAAGAGATATATATATATATATATATATATGCATGCATGTATGTAGAGAGAGAGAGAGAGATAGATAGAAAGATAGATATGTGTGTGTGTGAGCGTAGAGAGAGAGAGAGAGACCATCATTAGTGTTTTCAAGTTCTTTTAATGATTGCTTCCCCATTCTGTATTTCTGCAAAAAAATAAATAAATAAATAAACGGCATTAGCTTGTAGCAACCATTTCATAATATGAAGTAATGAATCCGAAAAAACAGATTTAAACACTTCAATATCCATTCTATCATAAAAATGTCATTTAAGTTAAAAATATTTTTATTGCATAAGCAAAGATAGCTGTTATGAGAATGTATGGAAGTTTAAGCACTTTAACAGACTCAAATGGGTTCATCTCTTTCATATGATTTCTTCAAATAGGAAGAGCATACTCAATGCCTAGTCCAGGAACAACCTGAAGATGGCTCTTTAAATGATAAAGTGTGAGGCCTTTTATGTTCATCAACCTCATTATGGTCTTCGGTGTTGCTTCTGCAAATTTAAGGAATTAAAAAAGAAAGAAAACTGAGGCATCATATAGAAGCATGAGCACGTTAAAAGGAACAAAAAATTATCTTAATTTTGTGCATTGGATGTAAAAGGAGTTGAATGCCGATTAAAAGCATTGACTGCATGAAACAAATGCCTTAACAGGAACACAATTTTCATTGATGCCTCTGAAACTTGCCGTAAAGTTCTTTCATTATGGATTACAGAAAAAGAAAACACTCTGATAAAACCGAAGAATTCATGCAGATCTAATCACCTTAATGAGAAGACTGGCTGATGAAAAAAGAAACAATTAAATGGAAACTAGCAAAAGAACTTCAGGTTGCTGAGTCACACTCCAGATCATCTATTGGGGAAAAGAAATTGTGCAAAAGCAATAAATAGCATGTGTAAAATACCATAAAACAAAGGGACAAGAAGATTCACATGACTCAACCATGCTCGCTTATGTTCACGGCAAAGAGATACCTTTACACTACTCCAAAGATGAATACAACAACAACAACAAAGCCTTAATCCCACTACGTGAGGTCGTCTACATGAATCCTTTTTCTCCATTGCATCCTATTTAGTGAATATTTTCATTTAGATCTAGTAAATTAAAATCATTTTTAATACAATAAGCCCAAGTCTTCCTAGGTCTACATCTGCCTTTCTTAACATAAGTCGAATCTAAAACATCTATTCTCCTAATCGGATCATCAGATGGTCAACGTTTAATGTGACCAAACCATCAAAGATGACTTTCTCTAATTTTGTCCGTCACAGGAGCTACACCAACCCTATCACGAATATATTCATTTCGCATTTTGTCTCTAAGTGTAAAGCCACTCATCCAACTAGTCATTCTCATCTCGGCAACACTTAACTTATTATTATGCTTCTCTTTTAAAGGCTAACATTCAGCGCCATAGAGCATTGCAGGTCTCACTACCGTCTTATAAAATTTTCCTTTCAGTCTAAGCGGTACTTTCTATCACACAAAAGGCCTGAAGCATTCATCCACTTCAACCAACCAACTTGAATTCTACTATCACCCTCGCTTTGAACAACGAACCCAAGATATCTAAAATGTTCACACCTTTTAATAATTTGATCACCCAAAGTCACACTTCTGTCACTAGAGCTATTACTTCTAAAATTACATTTCATGTATTCAGTTTTAGTTCTACTTAAACGAAGGCCTTTAGACTCCAATGTAGACCTCCATAATTCAAGTTTTTCCTGGGCATTTTCTCTCGTTTTATCCACGAGAAGGATATCATCAGCAAAAAGCATACACCAAGGTAC